TGTCAGCATCACCCCATGTCACGACGGATCCATCACCAAGAATAGCGGCAAAAGCGTGCTCTGTGGCCTGGATCTGCTGCACATTCTTCAGCTGGTCCTGCACAGCAGCACTGTCACCACCATACGTAGCATGACCCCATGTCACGACGGATCCATCGCCAAGAATGGCAGCAAAAGCGCCGTTTGAGGCTTGGATCTGCTGCACATTCTTCAGCTGACGTCGCACGCCACCACCAAAACGAGGGTCCCCCCAGGTCACGGCAGATCCATCACGAAGAATGGCAGCAAAAGCCTCTTTAGTCGCTTGGATCTGCTGCGCATTACATACTTGAGCTCTTGTGATGTGCAGCGTCAGCGAATCGCCATCCTTCACTCTGGCATCTTCGAGTGATGCACGCGGGTTCAGCACGGTTCCAGATGAGTCCACCAGTCGCCCTTTTCCGACCCGAAGTGCGAGCTGTGCCCGGCGCGTCAACGTCCCTACTTCTTCATCTGAGCTGGCCGTCACGGCAGCTGTCCTACCACTGAGCAGTCCAACTGTCACGGTAATCGATGTGGCGCCACCCATTTCAATGGCCTCACCTGTTCATCCAGGCTGGCGGTCACCTCTGCTCCCTTGCCACTGAGCCAGGGTTTAGGGTTTAGGGTTTAGGGCTTAGGTCTGACTTCGAAGCGACATCTTGCACGCCACGGCTAGTCGAAGACTAAGAGGCTCGCCTTTCGAGACCAAAGAAAGTCAAATAGCTCTTGAGTTCTGCAACTGGGGGATCTTCGAGTTAGGGGGTTTGAGGTGTGTTATGATGATTGGGGTTTTGGGGGGTTGGGCGGGCTTAGGGCTCAGGCTCAGGGTTCTGAGGTTCTTAGGATTCTCAGGTTTTTGAAATTTAGGATTGCCTTTTGGGTTTGGGGTTTTCAAGTTTAAGCTCCGGGCACTCAGCATTTTACGGGCTTGCAGGGTTCTTAACTTCTTAAGATTTTTCTGGGGTTTGGGGTTGATAAGATTCTGAAGGTACGGTTCTAGAGGTGTGTTGGAATGTTTAGTCTAGGATGTTGGGGTCCAGAACTTTTACTAGAAGTTTAAGATCTTTAAGTTGCTGCTCTTGGGGTTTGGGGCGGTGGGTTGTTAGGATTTTGCGGCTGCTATTCAGGGCCGAGCACGTCCTTAAAAGGCCGTGGGCTTTCCTGCAGGTTTTGCGGTTTGGAAGCTTTCGCTGGATTCTAGGCGCTGCCAGGATCGGACTTTATTTAGCTTTACTCGGGGAAGGGGGTGGGGAGTGGGGGTGGGGGGGAAGGCTGATTTCGTTCTGGCGCCGCCAACTTTGTTTGAACATGGGCTTTGAAGCCACGCCTGCCAGCAAAAGTCAAGACAGTGCTCGGGTTTGGGGAAGCCAGGATGATGTGGAAGGAAAAAATTGGGCTTTGAAGCCATGCTGCAAAAGTCAAGACAGCGCAGACATGCCTCTGAGAATCACATTCAGGAGCTGTGTAGAGAGAACGTGCGACGCCCTAAGTTTCAAGGCTACATGGTCCCTGAAAGTCATTGTCACGAGCATATCTGCGTTTTCTTGACTTTTGCTGGCAGGCCCAAGTTAGACCCTAAAGCGACCCTGACCTAAACCCTAAACCCTAAACCCCACGGTTTAGGGTTTAGGGTAAGCTCTAACCTCTGAACATGGCATGGGACGTGGAGCATCAGTGGACGCGGTAGGTAAGGTTACAAGTTATAGCGCTCTAGCTATCTTATTCGGGGCTGTAAGTCATTATCCTAAACCCTAAACCCTAAACCCTAAACCCTACAGGTAAAGTATCTAAAAGCATAGCTACTCAGTCCCATGAAGCTTTAATTTAAGTAGACCCTAAACCCTAAACTCTTCAAGGAGAACCCTATTGTAGAACCTTCCGGTACGCCCAAAGCCCAAGCGCCGTGCTGGTAGACCTCAACAGGGCAGAACCTCAAGCAATTGGTGGTACGGTTGATGATATTAATCCTGCATTACTCATAATACGAAATAACAGTAATTCCCACAGTCTAGGGTCTTGAAGGTAATGCAGGATTTATATCATCAGTGGGGGTTCTGAGTTTCGGTCGGTTTCTGGCGGTTAGGATCAGCTGATGGTTGTGGGCTTGGGTTCTGGAAGATTGGGTTTTGGGCAAGTAGGAGCCTTAATCACAAGAATAGGGTTTTTGGGGTAGATGATAGTTTAAACATAATAAGGAACCCCCAAAGTAGTATTGGCAATTCTTGAGGCCCCTATAGTAGGAGCTTCCACTGCGAGCTTAGAGGATGACGTGGGCTCCATGGCTTGGCAGGGCCTGAAAAGAGTTACGGTGCTTTTTAGGGCTTAGGGTTTACGGCCCAAACTTCGGGAAGGGTTCAACAAGCAAATCCCTTAAGGGAGGCTCCTTCTTAAAGTACCTCTAGTAGTATAGTATAGGGTCCAAATTTGGGGATCTGCTGTTTACATAGGTACAAGTCGGTTCTGTTCTCAGAGTCAGAGGCTGGCCTTCGACTTTCGTTATCCGCATGACCTCCCTCCCGAACGCTCCCAGAACCCCCTACGACGACGACGACTGCTACTGCTACTAAATCCCAAACCCTACGGAACCTTGGAACCCAACCTCTTCTGCCATGGCTTGCAGGGTTCCTTAAACCCGTTATAGTATACTATATACCCCCAAACCCTATTCTTACTATCAAGGCCTCTACATGTATTTTGCCGAATGGTCGTGAAGCTGATGCTGAGGCACGGGCTCTCCCTTGGAAGCGAGCTTCAAGTCAATGTGTGCGAAGTAGTACCTTAGCTCCAAGAGCCCTTGTCTAGGGAATATCAGGGTTTAGGGTTTAGGGTTCTGGGTTGGAGGGTTTGGGTGCTTCTAGGGTTTAGGGATCAAATACCGTAGATCATATTAGGGATCTTACTGTCATTTAGGGGTATATTCCTTAAACGAAGGGCTAGTGGAGTCTCTGGGTTACTTGAAGGCCCAGAAGACTTAGTAAGTAGGTTCTAAGTAGAGTTATAAGTACCCTAAATGGAGTTACACCAATTATAACCCTACTTATAACC